TATATATATATATATATATATATATATATATATATATATATATATATATATATATATATATATATATATATATATATATATATATATATAGGTATATTATATATATGTATATTATATATATATAGGGTGTATAAAAAAAACGTAATCGAACGTCAGCGCGCTATTGTATCTGAATTAATATACTCTGCGTATGAACGAGTTTTTTATATTCGGAAAGATCAAGCTTTTAGCTGTTGAATGATATGTTCGTTATGCCAAATGGATGAAAAATGAGCAAATACGAATCTGATAAAAATGTTAGTCACATATTTTCACCGTTGAGAGTTGGGTCTAAAACCATTGAAAATTAACCCCCTTCGGTACTTAAGTTGATGAAGATTCACTTCAATAAACTACGCACATATTCATAATTATTATTAAGTATACTGAGTACAGGGTGTCCCCCAAAAAAGTACCCTCTATAGAAATTTATCCTGTTGTTGTTAAGCACAGGATTTTATGCGACGGGTAATTAAAAATTCAATTCATTTGTGTTTGCGCACTCTTGTGTTCAGCATAGTGCTCAGGCATTCAAATTATAACAATAGGATAATTTCTATAGAGGGTACTTTTTTGCGGGATACCCTGTATTAGCAATCGCCCCTAGAGTACTCAAAATGAAGACGTTAAATTATGTCCATGTATTATTTTGCTCCCTAAGGATGATATTTCCAATAATAATGTGTCCGTATTATTTCAAACTTTATCGAGACGTAAGAGAGATTGCCTATAATAGAGAGGTGTCCCTAATCCGTATTTGTAAACCCATTTTAGAGAGGTACGTGTCTTTATTGGAGAGTTGGCAGGAATAGAGATATATGATAGTAATTAGAATTTTATAACATTATTTTTTACTTTTTGGCTCTTTGGAGCCGCACTAACTTTCCGTGTGCTCCCCAGTTGATACTAGCCGCTTTCTGTAGACTTCCCATATGGATAACTGTTTGCCTATGTCATATATATTTTCTCGTTGTAATGTTTCAGTTTGTCCAATAAAACTGTTAAATCAAGATAATATCCGTATTGGAGAAAAGACGTTCTTGAGGAGTCAGCTGGTTAAACTGAAATGATATTTGGTTACCTGTTAGAATATTCCCGTGCATCCATGACAACAATTTCAATTTTTTGCTGAGCCAGCTCCTCACGATCAACCTCAAATTCAAAGGTTTCTTCCAATTTTGGAGAACTTGTATTGGAGTAGACGTCTGTTTGGATTGGATTCTGCCCGAAGTTAGGAAGAAGTCGAACTTCCAAGAATGAATTTACTTGAGTCTTGTCATTACGAGTGGGAAGATCAAACATGCTCAGCAGTTTCACCAACAGATAGTTTCTATCAAAAATAAAAATATATTAATATTTGAACATGAACGACATCTGAAATCCCATCCATAATGGGATATTTAAAAAATGATGCATATAATGAATTAAAATGATGATGCCATTAAATGTACAACGAACCGCTAAGCATGAAAATATGGTGGCTACACGCATAGTAATTGATCAGGTTGATGCGACATTGTTCGCTGAACAACGTGGAAACAATGCTGTTATTATCAAGGTTGAAGATGGTTGTTGAAACAACAGTTGTTGACAGGATGCGACATAACATTCCTGCATCCCGTTCTGAACAACACAGAACACGTTTTTGACAACTCGCAACATGCTGTTCGTTTTCACGGTCGGGATCGAGATCGGGCGAAAATTGTGTTTCGATTTGTTTTTCGGAGGTCTACTATAGTCTATACTACATAATTTGATTATTTTTATTTGAGCAGTTGTATAGAATAATATAGTTGGAGACAATTCAAGAAGAGAAATACCATTCCCATTTACTAAATTTTTATCCCTTTCCCAGTGATTAATTAAAATCCCAGTGCAGTAAATCCATAGAAATATTAGATGTCTATTATTTCTATGAGTAAATCCCACTTTCCCAGTCCAAAAAAAGCAAATCCCAGTTCCCAATTTATCCCTTCAGAACCCTCTAAAAAAAGATAAACAAACCTTTGACGATCATAACGGAGTAGGATGCTCAGTGTTGAAGTTACATCAGGATCAGTCTATGTAAAAAAAAACAAGATACAAGTATTTTTGCGTCTATTTTTAACCTAATATTATTGGGATAAATGTAGGGATAATCTTTTGTTATTAAAACAGGCGAGTGCGAAATATGTTCCACTTTCTTTAGATACACGCGTACTTTTGCCAGTAAACAGCTAAATTTATCCATTCTTAGCATATCAGTTTGAACAGGAATCTTGCGTTGTCGCTAATATTAGTGAAAACGCGTGAATTAGTTTAATACCATGGTGTTTAAAGTGACTTCAGTCACGTTAGCAGTATACAGTAGTTTTAACTACATAGGTGAAAATTGTATAAAATATTTAAGTTATAAGACTTATAATAGTTAGGCCTACCATAAATTCCTCAGAATCTTCTTCCTAGAATTACGAAATAAAGAAAAAATATAATTATAATGTTTGTGCGAAAAGGCTGCATATACAGCTACAATGTTGGACATACTGTAACTGGTTGAGAGTTTCTTCCCCTCTATATCAAATTTACACACCCTTTATGATAAATTCCACGTAAAATCTTGTTGCGCTTCTTAAGCACACACTCTCCCAACTCAATGTTGAGCTTGTTTTTTTTTCGGGATTGTTCACAACATTGAACTGTGTGGAGGGAGTGACAAATTTTTCTCGGTTAATCCGCATGAACTTTGCAACACTACAAACAATGGTCCTCAGCGCTATGCCCAAGATTGTAGACAGTACAAGGTTTCCTCGAATGCTTTCACTTTGGTCAAGCTTTGAAAACATTAAATTGTCACGGAAACAAAATTCTCTTTCCAACAAATTCACAAACATGTTGATGTTTCATTTCGTACGAGTGATTTTGTTTCGGAAACACTACTTCTGGGTTTTCACACCTTGGAAGACATAGCTAAGGCCCAATTTACACGATACCGGATTTGCATCGGAACGACATCAAATTTTACAGTTTCATGGAGATTTTTGCACTCAAAATTAGGATAATATAACAGCATTAGTGAAAACCTTCAAATATGAAAAGTTGTAAAAGGTCGAAAAGCGTCTTAGTTGGTGTTGCTCGATGCGAAACCGGTATCGTGTAACTGGGGCCTAAGATACACAGTTAGCTGGTTTGCTCAACTTCAACAAACATGGCTGGAAAAGAATGTTCCCTGGTTCGCCCACCTTCTGGAAATGCAAACTTGTACACAGAATCATAGGATACGAGATTGCAGGAAACGTAGCTAAGAAACAATGTGTCCTGATTTGCCCACCTTTATGAAACATGGTTATAGGAAACATTGTGTCCTGGTTTGCCCACCTTTTTGAAACATGGTTATAGGAAACATTGTGTCCTGGTTTGCCCACCTTTATGAAACATGGTTATAGGAAACATGTGTCCTGGTTTTCCCACCTTTATGAAACATGGCTAGGAAACAATGTTTTTAAAATAATGCATATTCTTTGTCCTGGGCCTAAAGCATCATCCAGAAGCTGAGACAAGGCACTTGCAAGACATATTTACCTGTACATGCGGGTATCCATCGACAGGAGTCTTACTATCAGGCTGCACTGTCTCCGTTGTATATTCCACTTGAGCTTCATCAGGCATGGGTGTCAACCTCTGTTTCTCGGAAATATCACCTTCCTCTAGTTTCTCGCGATGTTTTGTTCCCAACTCACGTTGAAATAAGGCAGCGAAAATTGCGACAAGGAGAAAGAATACCAAGCAACCAACAATCAGTGCTACGATAATAACGCTGTCGACGAACATTCTCGCATTCTATACTGCGAAAAATATTAACCGCGGTAAGGGAAATACCACCTTACGCAAGGGGATCAAGATGTCTTGAAAAAAACTCACATAAATAAGGGCGAAAATTGCGACAAGGAGAAAGAATACCGCAACCAACAATCAGTGCTACGATAATAACGCTGTCGACGAACATTCTCGCATTCTATACTGCGAAAAATATTAACCGCGGTAAGGGAAAGTACCTTTATTACGCCAAGGGGGGGATGAAGATGTCTTGAAAAAAGCTCATATATTTACAGGGCCCCTGTTGGGGTTATTGGTAAATTTTCGACGCCCCCCCCCCACACGTTTTTAAAATTTTCAATGCCCCCCCCCCCTCTCCCCCTTAAAATCCGGAATCGAAGGAGTACAATCCGGAATTTTCTCTTATTGCAGTTCTTGCAGTTCCTCAAGATGCCTGATATACTCAAGCACGTGCTTCTCCTCAACAAAATACCACCTTGCTGCTATGTCAATGAAATGAAATGCACCGTCTTTAAATGGCACCGTCTTTAAAGGGGCAGAATCATCAACAAGTTGTTGTTGTCCATCACTAAGTTCAGCGTAGTCGGAGTCTTGAACACGTTCATGTAGTGGGCGTAATTTTCTAGATCAGGGTAATGTGCTAAAACTCTAGAGAACCTCGCCCCCACCCAACGTATCTCCTGGCATCTGTTGCAAATTTCTTTGCATGCCTGTCAAAAATGCATGCAAAAGCGCCAGTATGCTCCAACTTCTTTAATTTTCATCCCGTTTCTACTAGATTTCCCATAAACATATCATTCTTACAAATCGTATGTGTGTTTTTTGGAATTTCTAGTTTTTGGTGGGTAAATTATGTCACAAACTTGGCGCCAAAAAATTAAAAATAAGCTATAGGTGATTTCATATTTCCATTTAGAGGAGCAGACTAAGGGTATCTTAAAACTGAAATCGGTTTCGAAATACAACCATTCCTTGCGAAGATATAATGTCTTAAATTTCTAAAAATCTGCCATTTTGTTCTATTTTTAGTAACAATATGGCGGATTTTTCGACATTTGTATCGCTATATCTTCTCTCGCCTTGGCGATATCCCACCTCTTTCTGCTGGGAACTCGGCCAAGGCGAGTTACTCGGCTGCATCATGTAAACAGCCCCCCGGGATTACTATTAGTTTCTATAATAGCCTGGATCTCGCCGTTGACGAGTAACTCCCTTGCCGGGTAACTCGCCTCCATATAAACAGGCCCGAAGACATGTTTAAATGCTATCGTGCATTATATACAAGAGAATGTGCTATGATGTGTGCCGGGATGAATCATGTCACGAAAAGTTTCCCTGACCATAAAAGATCGTTCGAATGAACTTTATACTGTTTCTGAAATACTTGCGATAGATGAACCAGGCGGAAATCGTAATCTTAGGATAAATATTAATGGCAAATGCCCAGCAGGAAATAAGTAAAATACGTAAAAGAGCCATAACAAAAATATAGTTTTAAAATATTTATTAGAAAGCTAACGTTTCGTTTTTAACTTAAGACATCTTCAAGACAAATTGCATAACTATTGCTAGACTATTGATGTTTGCACCAGTTTAACTGATAAGTCAAGATCAATCTATTAGGCCCTATATAGATCAACCTATTATTTCATATCCGACATTTCAAAGTTAATTAGCTTAATCTGAAATCAAATTAAGCTAATTCAACTTTCAAATTTCGGATGTTTATCAAAGCCGTGACAAAAGCGTTATTAAACGAATCATCCCGGGCCAGCCCGGCTCCATATCAACAGCCCCTTATATCGCATTTGCCCTCCAATCTTCAACTCAGGCACTCAGCATTGTTGGTGATATTGTTTGCAGGAACTGAAGTGGAATTTAGTCACGCCCCCAGCTCATATTAAGATCATAAACCATGAAAAACAACGCCTTTTCCGTCCTTGATTTTATTAGGTTACATCTTTCAAAGTGATACATTTTATTTTAGTTATTTGGCAAATTCCAAGTATACAAAAGAGCCAATAATAGATTGATCTATATAGGGCCTAATAGATTGACTTGACTTATCAGTTAAAGTGGTGCAAACATCAATCGTCTAGAATATATATTATGCAAATTGTGTGACATCACAAGAACCGCACATGGAGTTCGGTTCACTCTATGATCAGCATGTGCCCTGAGCATAGAGAGACCGAAAAATAATTAACGTGGTAACAATATAGTTAACCATGCTAGGCCCTAGAATCTCTAGCTCTTCGCCGTCTAATATTTTGAATATTTCAGGTATCTTGCAGTCTGATTAGTTTATTCAGTTGTAAGTTGCCATGTAACCATGTTGGAATTTTTCATTGTCTAATTTTTTCCCTCTTTTTATTAATTGATTAAACATGTACCGCTATATTTGTTTGCTTTTGTCTTAAAATTTTAATAATGAGCAAGTTTTTACTGAAACTGCGGAAATATTTATAGGTCATCTGAAGGCAACCAGGCAGTAAATAATATTTACTGCCTGGTTTCCTGCAGATGAAGCGGTGCGTGTATGTTAAACCGCATTTTGTCGCTATAGTCATAGCATGTACAGGATCGATCGAGTAAATTAAACTGGGACTGAAGGCATAATCCATTATGTTGCATAACACTTAAGTATGCACACAGTTAATAGAGGTCTGCATAATCATTCACATTGGTTTATTTATTTTATTATGTTCGCCCATACATTTACAACTTTTTTACGCTAATACATAACACAAAATGTCTAGGGGCCTACTAGAAACGTATATCGGCTTTTCATTATTCTATAGATTATTATGATTATTCGAGATTATTCTTAAGACTATCACTGACTCTATACTAGACCAGGTCTCCTTCTATTAACCGTGACTAGACATACTATAGTCAACGATATATGATACCTTACTGTGCCAAATAAATCAAATAAAGACCGCTTCACGCATTTTTTCAATCACAATGCGATATTTAATCGATATGAGCAATCATTACAGTTAGTCTTTTCTAAAATAAGAAAAAACACCGACGAAAATATACCAAGAATGCAAAGCATGGGGCTATACAGTATACACTTGAGATATCAATTATAGGGCGTATAGCCCGTTATACTAGTGCCCTAGCGTTGAACTGATCATGAACCTGTTGGTTTTGGTTTAGAGATATATTGAAGTTTACTTGGTAATATAAAAGTGTTATATATCAGTACTTTACCTACACAATTCACAAAGGTGGTTAACAACTATACAATAAAAATATGTATGTAAGGTTGAGTACTGTGTCTGTGAGGAATGTGACTATACACAACGTATGCCGATAAAACAACCATAATATATAGGCTATACACACAGTTTATATGGTGACTCACCTAAACTAACGAGCAGGAATCCTCCTTTCTTCTAGTATCTCTACTTCGTGCACCTTATTCTACTGCTCAATCAATAATATATACATTCCCGAGTTAATACAACAGTCAACAGTGTACTAAATCAAGTCACACTTGAATGCTTCACTGCTCAAGGTGAAAGCCTGTGTACCTACATGTGTTTCCTAAATTTCTTAGTAGATTGCGTTTATTGGTAGCCTTATTGGCAGGGTAACTTGGGAATTGTCTACTTTTGTCATTTTTCATTAAAGATATATCAAAGCTCAAATATAAAGTTATAGTGTGACATCATTTACCGCCTCTTAATGTCGCAGACACTGAAGGACGGGAACACAATAAGTTTATTAATGAGTGGTGAATTTGTAATTCAAATCAATCTCTAAAGTCAAGAGCCTGAAGAGGAATGCTGAAGTCACAGTTCTATAGACTGAGTCTGTGATTTGATGATCCGCTCCTATTCAGATTATCTAACTTTTCCAAAAAGTTTCATCGATTGTTAACTAAATATAGAAGACTAGTATTACCTTTCTAAACTCTTCTGAAGATTTTCAAATATTTTAAACAAAGATTGTCCAAACTTTGGTTGTATTAAATAATGAGCATTCGAAGAGTTCAGCCAGGCATGCATTCATGCATAAAAAATAAAGAGGTGTTGAGTCCTATATCTTCTTCATATAATGATTGATGTTTGTCTGAGGACTTACAGTAAGTGTGTTATACTCCATTTCATTTTACATTTGAAATCGAATGCATTTTTTTTAATTGAAAGTTGATAAATTTCGTTTTCAAGTTGTTAGTAAGTTTTGTTTCAATGGTGACAGTCTATGTACTATAGTCTACAGTATAAAAGCACATCTGCTAGTTTCTTGTCCCATAATACCAAGGGCCTTCGCTCCAAACGTCGAAATTTTGTCTATCTTTCAGATCAGGCTCAGTTTCATACCCAGACGCCAGCATATTCGTTTATACCTGCACTAGCTCGCAATATTCAAGATCGTTTATCAGCTGGAGGCAATGCGATTTTTTCTCAGCATAGTTTACACCTGAGGCCGACTATTTAAAAAGGTGTAGTTAAAGATAAATATAGTTAGTGTTAACTACCGTAGTTAAACCCTTAAGTAGCTGTATTTAGTTAACTACATGGCTTAACTGCGTTGCAAAAAATACTGACAAGTTTACTGCTTGTGGGCCTCGCGAGTCGCGTGGGTACATATTTCACTTCACAACTGATCCATAAGATATAATTATCTGGCGTGTTCTCCCCGGCTTCCGATCTATTACTTGCTCATTCTTCACAATGGCTTCGTGCTACACACGTAAAAACGCACAAGTTGTTACAGGTCTGCGAAGAAGTTGTTACAAATCTGTTCACAAGTTGTCGACAAATTGTCTTCGCACTGATTGTTCCCACTTTTTGTAATAAGTTTGGAACAAGCTGTTAACAACTTGTAACAAGCTTAGTGATGCCGCATTATCAGACTTGTTACAAGGTTTTTCTAACAAGTCTGTCTCTGATACAGTCATGATATAACAAGATTGTTAGAAGGTTGACGACACAAGGTTTTTAACAGTATTGTTATATCATGACTATATCGGACTTGTTGGAACAACCTTGCAACAAATCTGATAGTATCAACAAGCTTGTTACAAGTTGTTAACAGCTTATTCCAAACTTGTTGACATGCAACTTGGGACAAGCAATGCGAACACAACTTGTTGGCAGCTTGTTGGCAGACTTGCTACAAGATGTGGGATTTTTAGGTGTGTACAATCTTAGCCATAACCTTTGAGACCATTCCAGCCAATTTTGTAAATTTAATGCATATTGACAAAACGAACTTCGTCACCCCCTCTCCCCCTGTTCAATGTTTTAAACAACGTCAAAACAACTTTTTCCAGTAATTTACCAAGACCAACAACAAGATGAATTTATCATGAAGGGTACGCGAAATGTGTATAGAGCGAAAGGTAGTCTCAACCACTTATGTCCAAGATTGTAGTTGATTTTGTGTGTTCTGGCTGAATCCTCGCTAAGAGCGATATCCAGAATCGACACACTCCCAGGAGGAGAGCGAGAACAGAACACCTTCTTGCAGTCGAAAAATAAAAATTAATCCAAACAAACGGTGACGAAACACCTGTAGTAGTGCTTATGGCCGTAGTTCATCGAGTTTCAGTAGTATTCCAGTAGTAGTGAATCAAGCAACTCCGAAAGCGATAGTGACAAAAGTCCATTACGGGCCTCGGAATGGGCCACAAAACATCCCCGCGCTATTATCAGTACAATACACCTCTGCGGGCTCTGCCAACAGCGAGCATGGTGTTTACGTATGTTTTACTGCAGGAGGAGAAACTACATCGAAGCTGCATTTATCCAAAGACATGATCAATTATCTGGAGAACCAATTTTCTACCTACTTTTTATCTCAGGGTTAAGGTTCTTAAAGAAACGGTTCTACAATCAATTGCAAACCTTTTCCCAAACGTGGACTGACTGACTACCCCAGAAATAGACTGTGATTTATATCTGGGTGAGGTATTTGAGTCAGTAGGTATACATTGCCGCTTTTCAGATGCTTGCCTTTAACGGTCCAAACTCGTATTTCAACATCATGGGATCGCTTAGCAAGCTTTGGCTAACACTAGAGGATGCATGTGAGGTCGGGAAAAGCTGACACATAAAGTGGAAATTAGAAACAGCAAAAGGCGAGTAAGAATAAGGGATTAGCAAATGGACTCGAAGTCCTAACACGCGTATACAAATAATTTTACAGACTTTGAGACCTTTACAGTAAATAAAACATGCAAGAATAAATACTACACTACTACGAAATTATTTGCGAGGTTCAAACATGACCCCCACCCCCACCACCACCACCACCATTAGTTGGAACCACAAACCACTTACATGCAAACCAGGTTAACGCGAGGTAGTGATGGTGGTAATGACCTCTTGATGCAAGTCGCCTATTATTTCCACGATTTCAAATAGTTTATTCCACGACTAGCAAAGTAATCGCGCGGGGAGTGATGGCACGAAAATTCCTGCTAATTGAAAATCCCCCACCCCTCCCCTATCACTTTTGTAATACCCACTAATTGTTTATTTATTTATATATTTATTTATTTAATAAACAATAGTGGGTATTAGAAAAGTTATGGAGAGGGGGAGGGGGGTTCAATTGAGGGTTCTCTTCAGTTATAGGTTCTCTTCCTTCTGAATTTTGAAATTACTGAAGTGATAGTGAAGTCACAACAATATGGCCGCCTCAAGTCTCATTGTCACGTGTTTAAAACGATCTGAAACTCACTAGAAGGGGTGTGGGAAGCTATATCTTTTAAATTTTGTAGAAGGTATTTCCAACAAACTAGGCTAGTCCTTCGTGACTACTTTGGTTGACTAGCTGTTTATACCTAATTTGTTATATTTATCTTGTATTCTCTTCCTATTATTTTTGTCATTAGTAATAAATCTTCTTCCGTAATAGTACAACCAACTTAAACATGTAACGATATTTAATATTCGTATAAAGAAATGTGACAGATTTGAAAAACTCAGATTCTCAGAACTCTCCTCATCTATTTGCTCTATCCAGTCCCTAGTTTTTGAGATCAGTAAAATCGTATATATAGCTCAGTGGGCATACAAAATGGCAGGTCCATCATCATCGAATTTGGCAATGGAGACATTTTTGACCATGTCGTCTGTCAGTTGGGATCCTTTTAGTTCAAAGGATTGGGACAAAGAGAAAGTTAGTCCTGAGTGTATTTTACGAATCCAACGGTATGACTAAATGTACATATTTCAGTCATATTTCGTGAGTGACACACTGACATTTGAAATTGTTTAATTAATTATATTTGTTAATATAAAGTAAGTTTGTTAGAGATATGTACCCAGTACCAATCAATGTCTGCCCTGACTGTGCAGGCATACCCAGGGCTATTGACATTGAAAATGTTTGGGTCAATAATCCCCACTCAAGTGCTGTACATATCGAACTGTCATTCATCTTGAATGCCTCACATGCTGCTTCATAGTTCAGAACTTCAGAACAGTCGTGTGACCATGTTCACTTTGATTCTATTATATTTGTTCTGAAGGACAGCCAGAACAGTTGCATGATTCTATTAGTGTTCCGACGAACAGCCAGAATAATTCAGAACAGTCATGTTACTGTGGTGTTCAGGTTGATTCTATTAGTGTTCTGGAGGCAGCTCAATTTACTGTTCAGAGTACTCCGGATTTTCAGAACACTAATTAAATCGAACCAATAATGGTCACATGACTGTTCTGACGGTCACATGATTGTTCTGGCTGCCCCTACGTCACAGAAGAGATAAGGGCAGAAGGTTCACTCAAGGGTAAAAAGTGTGCCAGAATGTGAGCCGACTTCCGGTGTGGCCGCCATGTTGAAAGCAACCAAACCAGAGGAAATTTTATAGGAATTAATATGGCAGAATATGAAATAGAGCCACTAAAAGTGCTCTAGCTTTTTATGTATCCAAGCAAAACTCATGATACTTTGAAATATCATAAAGAAGAGGTTGTTCTTTGATTTAATTCTCACTACGAGGATGAGAAACGAATTTAAGCGTGGAATTTGGCCATTGTCATACATCGATTAATTTCACCTCGGTCTTTGGCGAATAGTGATAAACATATAAAGTTATATAGCTTATGTGTGGTTAGTCCGATCGCCGTAAAATATGTTTTGAGTGATAAGTTGGTGATATTTCATGGTGTACAAAAAGATTAGGGACGTGAATGCCATAACAATGAAGGAAATAAATCCAGTTCATCGGACCTTCAGTGAATCTGTGATCAACTATTCAATACAGTGTAATTCAACTTGGCATATTGGCCTGCAATCGTATAAAATAATATTGCGATATGAAAGAAATTGCTAGAGACCTACTTCTTCTTCTTCTAAAATAAATTTTAGGGATAATATATTGACTTGAACCTATTAAAATCCTTTAGCTGTGACTTTACAAATTTGGTATCACAAGTGTGTCAAGTCACAACTGACAAGGGGCATGTAGTAAAACACTGACTACCGGAACACCGGAACACCACCGGAACACCGGAACACCACCATTTTGTTTGGGGTTAGGGTTTGGGGTTAGGGTTGGGGGATAGGGT